ATGCAAAGTTCCGAAACTACTTTTAGATTTAATGAATAAATGTCTAGATGCTGTTCCTCAAAATAGACCATCTGCTAACGAATTAAAGAATATTCTAGAAGGGTATTGTTATGGTTTTGGTGAATTTAAAACTTATAAATTTGAAATAAATAAACAAATTAAAGAAATTGAAAATTCATCGGAAAAATCGTCGATTTGTTATCAAGCCAACTCAGCACAACTTAATTATCAAACGCACAGGCAGGCCATTTATACAAGTCGACTTTTAAAATTTCAAGAACTTCCTAAGCCCGTAAATGCATCTAATAATAATCCAGGTAATAATATTTGTTTAAACTTAAAAAAATTAGTCTTAAATTGTGTTTTAATGTCTTTATTAACTTTTGAACTATCTTAGTAAGCAAGCCACTTAAGCCTCCCGAATTTGATTAAAAGATGTACTGATAAATTTTGGTTGTTACATATTTGTTAATTTATATTTATAGCAGTTTTATTTTCGAAAACCAAGTTATAATTTTAACGCATGTATTAAATTATAAAATTGTTATTTTAAAATTTATTTATATTCAAATTCAAATGTTTAAATTACTTAAATTCGATTTTTAAATATATAAGATAGAGTTTGAATTCAATACTCCATTTAAAATCTTTAATATTATTCATTTATACTATGATTTTTATTAGCCTTTACAATAAAAAAAGAATGCAAATTTTATTGTATTTAATTAAATTTAGAAATTTTTAAAAATAATTGTTTTTTATGAAAGTGGTAAGTACTCAAAATACAGGTTATTTTTTTATTATTATTTTTTACTACCGTATTTTGCAATAAATTAAAAATTAGTAGGTTTTTCATCATTCTACAAGACAAATAAGAATTATATGAATAATCCCTGTTTAGAATACATGATATTCAAAGGGTTAAGAAAAACATTGTATAATATTATAAATTATATTTGTTATCGGTGAATGAATTTAAGCCCCACATGTTCCGTATTTATCCGCCATGTGTACCCCCGTGTACTATACCCTGCAATGATTTTGAAGGCAAATTTTTGATTTATACCCGGGTATATAGTATGGGGTATCACACTTTTATACCCGGGCATATAATAGTAAAACATATTAAAAACATAGTAGTATTATGAGTACCCTGGGTACTAAAACGAACCAGGGAAATACCCGGGTACACATGCGGATAAATACGGTACGTGCCTGGCTTTTGTGGAAACACTTGGCGGATTTATTGTACGCTCTTTTTAAGGAGGGTTAAAACACATATATACATTTATTTATATAATATTTAAGTTATACTTTTTTTTGGATTTAGCGTTAGTGCTCCGTAAAATGGTATAAGTAGGGTTAGTACTCAAATAGAGGTTCAAATTTCACCACTCGCTCGTAGCACTTCCTGTTCCTATTTCGTATTAAGAATAATGCATGAATGTAACCTTATAATATATTCATAATGTAAAATCTTTAAAGTTATTCTCTGATCTAATACAACTGTATTTAGTAAGAATGTGCTTGTTTATAGAAAATTTATTAAGTATTGCATACACATATACTATAATTCCTTTCTATATAATTAAATCAGAAATGCATCACAGATCATATTTTCGTGATAATCTGTTTTTCTAAAAACTTTGGCATACGATCTTATCATTGGTATTATGAAAAACAATCAGATTAAAAGTTAAAAAGTAATATGAAATTTTCAAGTTACAAAGCATGAATGATACATGTAATAGTAAATATTTCATTTATTAATTTTCTAAACTTTACTCCCATTTTACATAATATAATTGGCATTAAATAAAATAAAAGCAAACCTCTAAAAATATGAATGATGTAAAATTAGGTTTTAAATTTTCGCATATCATGACTGATAAAGGATTTTAGAAATATAATATGAACATATTTAGATTTTAAAGTCATTGTACGTATGATTTATGAATGCAAAGATCGCATTTCTATTGCTGTAAAAATTTAAATAAGATTCTAGCATGATAAAAAACACCTAACTAGTAATTGAATGTGTAAAGTTTTGAATATTTTAACAAGATGGTTGTTATGGTCAGGTGGCTATGTCATGTGATCACTAACCTGACACAAAATTTGCCGACTGTAACTGTAACTGGCGTAAAATTTCTGTAACCTAAACTCTAAATTAAAAGGTGTTTGCAACAAGCATTTCGACTTTTAAATAAAAAATACGTCATATGAACTTTGAGTTATAATATCTCTATAATGAGTATATTTAATTATACTTGCTAGCCTGATTTCTGAATCAAAGGTCAGAAATTCACTAACGCTAACGCTAATTCGTTTTTTTTTTTTGTAACATCATAAATGATTGAACACAAAATTTTATTGTAATACCAATATTGCATTCATAGTCCGCAGTATATTGTCATACCAAACACATAAATAAAAGACGTTAGTAAATAAACATGACTAGTTATGGCTACTCTAAATGAATCGCTCAAAGAAATTATAAAAGAAAATAAATTATATGCATTTGATTATAACGAATTTACCAATTTTGAGAAAATTGGTTCTGGGGGATTTGGTGAAGTATATAAAGCATACTGGAAAACTCGTGGATACACTGTTGCTCTTAAAAGTTTAAAAGTTGATATACTTTTAGGTGAAAAGGTTATTCAGGAATTTATTAGAGAGGTTGTGATGATTATAATAATCATATAATATTGAGACTTTTTTTTTTAATCAATTATTTTATATTAATTATATGTATTTTTTACACAAACACAATTAAATTATATAGCTTATAATTTTATGCAGTAGCAGTATCAGATTACACTACCATCCCAATATTAATCAATTTTCTGGGATAGCCATAGATAACAACAGCGATCGTTATCATTTAATTTTACAATACGCAGATGAAGGAAATTTACGTGATTATTTAAAAAATAATTTTGAAAAATTAAAATGGAATGATAAATTACGTATTGCAAAAGAAATTGCGAGGGGTCTTATACACTTACATAAAAGTGAAGAAAGGATTATTCATCGAGATCTTGTAAGGATTACTATTTTTTTTTTTTTAATATCACATATATATTAATTCTTGCTAAATTACATTTGGTTAATACTGGTAATATAATTTAAATATATTAACAATTTTTATTTACAGCACTCTAAGAATGTTTTAGTTCATGAAGGTAGAATGTTGATAGCAGATTTTGGCATGTCAAAACAATTGGATGTGCAATCCATGTCCACAAATACTAGATCAGCTAAGGGAATGCCTGCTTATATGGATCCTTTATACCTTTATGATCACAACTATAAACGAAATGAGAAATCAGATATCTACAGCTTTGGAGTTATTCTTTGGGAAATTTCAAGCGGTCATCCACCTTTTCCGACTAAAGGTAGAGATGAGCTATCCGTTCAAGTATACTTGGGATTAAGGGAAACACCGGTAGAAGGTACACCGGAAAAGTTCATTGCCTTGTACAAGCGATGTTGGGATAAAGAGCCTGAGAAAAGACCGGATATTCAAGAAGTATTTGATACTTTATGTGAGTTTATGTCAGAAGAGACAGAAGAACAAGTTCCACAAAATAAAGTAGAACAAGATAAAGTAGAACAAGACAAAGTAGAACAAGACAAAGTAGGGACTATTGATACCGATATACCCCCTCAATTGAGTGCTGGGGCAAGCTCACACGATACCAACACATGTTCGGATGAAGCTAAGTTTATACCAGAAATCGTTAAACCTCTAACTAAGGAGATCAAACCACAAGATAATATGTCATGTGGATCTAATATTATAAAATTAGAACATTTCGCACTTATCTCTAGTTGGATTTATCAAACGAAATCATCTAGGCCTAAGGTTTTAAAATTATTCACACCACCAAAGCAATATAATATAACAAACTTTCCGTATCATTTTAAACTACTTATAAGAGGAAGTCGAGACGGATTTACAGCGCCTATATTTCATCGTAAATGTGACAATAAAGGATCAACAGTAACAATTGTAAAAGTTAGAGATACAGGAGAAATTTTGGGAGGTTATAATCCATTTAGTTGGGAATCACCTATTGAGTCAAAATATTGTTATACTACTAAAAGTTTTATTTTTAATTTAGATTATCATAATCCAGAACATTCAGTACTTAGTAAAGCTAAACATCATGAATCGATTAAAACAGGAGTGCATCATGGACCATATTTTCGTGGTGATTTATGTTTTTCGGAAAATTTTATAACAGGTCAATCTTATCATTGGTATTATGAAAGACCAATTAGATCAAAAGATGATTTTTCAATAGATGAGTATGAGGTTTTTCAAGTTGTGAAATCCAATAAAGAATTCGATTAGTATTTTATTATTATTATTATTATTATTATTATTATAACGAACGTAATTTTTTTTTGGTTTATTACATGTATTGTTAATTTCTTTTACCTATTTAAAGATTAGACGAGCTCAGTCATTTATTCTTGTCGTTTCTAATGTAATATAGTATTAAATAAAAATAAAATAAAAAAGGTTCAAATAAAGTCTCGAAAAACATGAATGATTGCTATTTTTTTTATGAAATAAGATATCCACTCTAGTCGTATATTATGTCAATAGTGTACATTGTCTCACTATATTTGAGTCTAAAATTATTGATATCCATTTTATTTCGTGCTGTTGAAAAAAAGCTTTGCGAGTATGGGAAAACGATAAATAAAATTTAAATTGAAGCTTTATTACGGATGTAAATACTATCTTATTTTTGCATATGTAATGAAATTAATAGTTTAAATTTCGTTTAGTTCTAATTTCAAAGTCAAAAAAGAAACAAATAAATAAAAAATTCATGATGTGCTATAGAACATTATTGTCAAAGAAATATTGGAACACAACTTAAGAATATATTGATTAGAAACGAAACTATAGAAATTCAAGCATTATATTATTTAAATATCAAAGGTTATATATTGTGCAATGATAATAGGAATTAGAATTTTTAAGATAAAGCAATCCATTCGCTGCAGTAAACTTGGTATAGATAATCATTAAAACATAAGGAATTTCGGATGCCATTTTTAATAACGATTTTTGAATTATGATAGTAATTATAGTTGTAAGCAATAAATTTGATATGCTAATGTATCTTTTCGAATAAACCTAAGAAAAAAAAACTTTCATTAAGTTTTAGAATTGATTCATTGTAATATACTAAGTTCTTTCGAATTTTATATCATTGCAAAAAGATAGGTTTTTGTTAAAGTAAATTCTCTGTACTTGATGGCCTAGAAAATTTATTTATATTGTATTTCTCAACTCCATTTTATTAAATTATGAAGTCTAATCATGAACGCATCTCTTTCGCAGTTCAGAGATTTTATATATTTGCAGAGTTTATATAAAGTAGTCAATCATTTGTAATCAAACTGATTCTTCGTTTCCACTAAAAATAAAGGTTTTATTGTGTAATATACAGTAATAATATTAATTTATAGTGGATTAATTTAAATGAATTCATGATACATTCAAACAAAATACAGAATTTATTCGTTGTTACGAACTGATGTAAGTACTATAGAATATGTAGTATGAAAAATTACACTTGGGTTATTGAAATAGAATCATTCGCTTCCTACAAATGTAGGTTTTAATACTTTTATATAGATGGTCTGCGCACCGTTAAAGGGTGGAAGGAAAAGCCTATCATGAACGTAGAGAAATATGAAAAGATTAATGTTAAAAGAATTTATAAACGAATTTGTTTTAAAAAAAAAAGACATCTAGCTGAAAGCTCACCAAAGGAAAAATATGGACTTGAAGAGAAAGTAGAATGGATTCCAATATAGAATGATGTCAGAAAAGTACTCGAAAATTTTCATAAAACCAAACACAATCCTGAATTAAATTAAATATATCAAAGTTAAAATATATTTAAAAAAAAAGTAAAAATTCAATCTTTCAAAAACATTTACCAGTAAGTTAACAATTGAGCATCGTTTGCATAATTTTTATTTTCTATAGCTTTAAACGAAACATAGGCTAAATTGAAGAGAGTACGCAAAAGTAGTCAAAATTAATTAAAATTAGCCTATATCAATAGTATATAAGAAATATCTATCGTTCTTTATTCAATATTAACCTGGATAAAGCCAACCAATAATGTCAGAAAGTAATTCACCAAGAATGTTGAAAAAGATCATTAAAAATAGGAAAGCGGCAACACCGACGGCAAGATAAGTTTTCGGAACACTAGTATATTGTTCCAATTTTCTCATATGAGGATACTTTGAAAGCTCTTTATCAAGTTGAACATTATAGTAATTAATCCTATTTAAAAATTCATCCATTTTATTGAAGGTAAAAAATACAAATATAAAACTTTAATCTTCTTTAATTGGAATTGTGAAATGAGAGAGAATTACTCTAATTATTCAAAAGGAAATTTTAGGACTGTCTATAAATACCCTACGTAGCGTTAGAAAATTCTTCATTTGTATATACAGTACAATAATGAAAAAATTTGAAACATTAATAAATGTAGCACAAACGTGACTTAGGCATATGTATAGAAAGTGGGCCAAAATTTTTGCTACGTATCTGAATTGCAAAAAAGTCCATAATACGTAAACGATAACATTCAATAAGGTATCTGATAACATAATGATATAATGATATACACAGATGATATAATAATACATGATAATAAATATGATTAACCTATTTTTGGACCCTTGTCTTTTTTTCGCTACTCAAAAATTAAGGCTTTGCAATTGAAGAAATTTAAATGTCACACAATTTTAAGTTCAATAAACAAAGGTAAAATTTAATGCCAAGCCACGTGTATACTTACACATGTGAACAATTTACGTACGCATAGGGATGTTAATCGGTCCCGCAGTAATTGTCAGCCGACTTTGAGCAAGATTTATAAAAAATTGGCATTTTTAACCGATATTCGTCCAATAAATAAAGTCATAGAAAAATAATTTTTCTGTAACATTTTCTAATAGAAGTTTATCGGTTTTTGCATTAGTTCTTGAGTAATTTAGATGGGACTGATTAGGGACCGAACAGTGTGGAGAAAATTTAGCCCATCAAAGTCGGCTGACATTTACTGCGGGACCGATTAACATCCCACATGAATATAATTTTCTCCTATTAATTAAATGGAAGAACAAGAATTATCTACTGTATGTTATTCATTTACCAATTACCTGTTAAGATAATCAAAGTTCTTAAATGTAGAATACTTTAAACTCAGGGTTGGCACGGACCGGTCAATGGTCAAGCTTGACCAGACCAGTTTGACCAATTTGACCAGTTGGTCAAAGGGTTTAGTATTGGTCAAATTGGTCAAAGGATATTTAAATATATAGTATATATACACATATATATATATCGATATATATTTACTTTGTATATTAAATTTATTTATTTAATAGGCTAGGCCATTTGACCGATTTGACCAGACCACTTGACCAATTTGACCAGACCAGTTTGACCAACGAATTTTTGGTCGACCAGTAATTTGACCAACCCTGTATAAACTGTATAGCTATCCTTAATATGATATCTGTACATCCGGATAACATGTTTAAAGCAGACGCAGTCGTAAAATTAAAATTACATTTTTTGTCATTAAGTTTAGTTATTCATTCCTCGCATTTTTGCTTCGTCGGGCCAGTTCCTAATTTGTGTTGATTAAAATGCATAATATAATTGGTTAGTTATCAAGTGATTGTACACGATTTCCAAGTTAACTGCGGTGCGGCTCATCACATTGGGTGGGGTTAGTATTCGATTAGTTACGGGTATATATTTATAGCAAATTGTCACTTGCCGTGATATCGGCTAAATGGAATGATTGTGGCTAACTGTATATAAGGTGCAGGAATATCAAGAAACATAATTTACGACAATTATCTCTTCATAATTATAATGAATTTCTTAAAAAATCGTTCAATCATTACTTTCAATTATCGACTAAAATTTTCACGTACATTTTTTACATCGTTACAATTAAGAAATAATCAATCAGAAATTATTATTTCATCATGGAAATCTAAGCTTGACGAAAACATTGATACAAGAGAAGAAACTTTATTTCCAACACCACTTCAACTTCTTTCAATTACTTTAAATCGTAAAGAAATAATTAATAATATCCCATCAACTCAACCTCCACCTAATGGAACACCATTACCACCAAATTATCATTTAGTATATTTTACTCCAAGAAATTATGAAAATGAATTAACAAATGATGGTTATAAAATTCAATTTTCACCACCTGCACCATATTTAAGACGTATGTGGGCAGGAGGTGAATTAAAATTTAATCATGAAAATCAATTAAGAATTGGTCAAAAAGCAAAAATGATTACTAAACTTCGTAAAGTAGATTATAAAATTGGAAAATTAGGTGAAAATGTTTTTATTTGGATTGATAATGATATTAATAATGAAAATGGTTGGTGTATAAAAGATTCTATTTGTGTGGCTTATATGCCTGCAAGTGATGATAGACCTCCAAGAAAAATTATCAAAGGTGTTTATTTTTTTTTATATGTAATTATTGTACAATTATAATTGTAAAATTTGTGAATATTAATATGGTTTTTTAATATTGTAATATAGAGAATTTATCATCTGAATTTGAGAAAGTTATATTACCTACTCCAATTCTATTGTTTCGTTATTCAGCTTTAACTTTCAATAGCCATCGAATTCATTATGATCATAATTTTTCAACAAAAATTGAAGGATATCCTGGTAAATGTTAATTTATAAAAAAAAAATTTTCAAATATAAACATCAATTTTTGATCAAGTTTTTATTATACTCATAAAAATTAATTAATCAATAGGTTGTTTGGTCCATGGTCCCCTCACCTGCACTCTTCTTCTTGATTTAATTCGCGATAATTTACCAAATTCTTCTTACATCAAATCTTTCAATTATAAAGCGTTAAGCCCTTTATATGTTGATGAAGAATTTAAAGTTTGTGGAAAAAAGTGTCATACTGATAATGCGTCTATAGATGTTTGGGCCGAAAATGTACATGGTGGAATTGCTATGAAAGGAACTGCTATTATCGGTGATACGTAATTTTTACAATGTAGTGATTAAGTATACAGTTACATGAATTAAAATAAACCTTAAATAACACTGCTTTTAACAGACAGGATCGTTATGATAAATTGATTGTTGTAAATTAAAGTATTAAAAAAGTATAAATTTAATTCATATGGCTTAAAGGTATAGTCAACCTTATATATACTGAATTTTTACATGTAGAATTCTGCTCATAACGAACTAAAAAGTTCATTAATTTTAATTGTTCGAATCTAATTGAATTGACACATATAGTATTTTCTTATATAACGAAAAGTTTATTAATTTTAGATCGCGTAGGTTACCTTTTTTGTTTTAAGGGATGCTTTATTTGCGGATATAATTTTAAGGATTAATGTAGAACTAGCAGTTAGGCACGTCCAAATGTCCACTGTTACGATCGGTGGAGAGCTTTATAGCAGGGTTGTGAATAGACATAGTCTAATCAAAAATGTTATTAATGGTCTAATTGTCTAATGTCTGTTCAATTTGGTTGAGTACAGACAATGTCTATTTAAATAAAACTTTAATTAGACAATATGTCTATTCATAATTTGTCTATTGGCCTATTGGTTTAATCGATTTATAATTTCAAATCATAATAACCCCGGAGAAGTCAGATGTATCAAGATAGTGTGATTAGCAATTAATCAGAATAAAAAGTATAATGTAGTTAAAAGGAGTATGAGAAAGTTTAAGAGAAATAGCTTAAATAATTGAATATAATATAAAGGCAGAAAAAATAAATAAAGAAAACCAGTTTTGATTTCGATAATGAGCAATTATAATTTGCTTATGACAAAGATAATGCAATGTATGCCGATATTACTATTTTAGTTTGCGCTTGGACATCAGATTCAACAGTAGTTACTTCAGACAAGCTAGATTTTTTATTATGTTTGTTAGGCCGTTTGCAGTTAAAGTTTCGTTTAACGTTATTTTTTTCGTATTCGCGGGGGGGAGGGGGGAAAATTAAACAAACAAAAAAAATAAACATATAGTATACCGAAAAATCCCGAATATAACCAAAAAGTTCCGATCACCGTGCCAACCATTATACCGACTAATTCGTCACCTCTATTTGTTTAATTTTAGAGGAGAACTCAAGAGATGGAGGGGGGTAATGTTAAACGAAACTTTAACTTCAAACGGCCTAATTAGCTTTGAGATTGTGACTGAGGCTTTAAATAAGATAAGTATGACCTTTCTTTTGTCTTTTTTTTCCTTGCTAACTTTTTTAAGTTTTGCTTTAATTTAATTTTCTTCATGTCTTGCTTCAAGTTTTCTTCACGTTTTGCTTTATTGGTTTTGTGATCAGGAACTGGGATTTAAATAAGATAGTACTAGTCTTCTTTTCTTGCTAACTTTTTTTCTCTTTAGGTTTTGCTTTAGATTTTCTTCATAGTTTGCTTCATTGATTTCGGAATTGTGAATTGGAATAAGTACTGATCTCCTCTTTGTTCTTTTTTTAAGTTTTTTTTTTTCTTACTAACTTTTTTTCTCTTTAGGTTTCACTTCAGGCATCGTTTCAGTTTCCTTCGTATTTTACTTCGTGGAAGTGGGTCAAAATTTTACTTTGACCTCGAGATTAGGAGCTGGTTTTAAATAAAATAAGTACAGGTTTTTTCTTTGTTCTTTCTTTCTTTAGCTTTTTTCTTACTAACTTTTTTTCTCTTTAGGTTTCATTTCAGATTAGTTTCGGGATCAGCAACTGGACTTTAAATAAGGTAAATACTGGTCTTCTCTTTGTTCTTTCTTTGGCTTTTTTTCTTGTTAACTTTTTTCTTCTTTAGATTTCGCTTTGGATCTCGCTTCTTTGGTTTCGGGATCGATAAACGGACTTTAAATAAAATAAGTACAGGTCTTCTCTTTGTTCTTGTTCTTTACTTTTTTTTTTTTTTTACTAATTTCTTTTTTTTTTCTTTAAGTTTTGCTCCGGGTTTCACTTCATTGGTTTCGGGATAGATGACTGAGGCTTTAGATGATAAGTGCTTGTTTTTCTTTGTGTTTTTAACTTTTTTTCTTATTAAGTTCTTTTTTCTCTTTAGGTTTCATTTTATTGATTTCCGAATTGGCATTATAAGATCAGTTCGCAAAGATAAGTATTTGTTTATTTTTTGTTAGTTTATTTTAAAGCTTTGGAAATTTTCTTTTTTAGATTCTTACACTATGAAATGAATAATTAAGCAAATATGTCACAAGTTGTAGGGAATTATGAGTCGAGTTCGTTATACGGGTTTTAGAGAGTTAAAATAGTCGGGTTTGTTACAAATCGATAGTCAGTTTGTTACGCAGGGTTGTAGGGAATTGTGTTATGTGATGCCAATTCATGACTTATTATGTAATAACCCGATAAATATTTAAATAAATGAATGTTATATATAGCATATAAACGATAATGATAAATTTATACTTGAACATGTCCGAAAATGTCCAAGTCCGAGATATATCACTCGGATATTGTCCGAGTGACAATATATTTACTCAGACAAAATTTGAACTCGGACATCAAACAATGTCCGAAAATGTCCGGTCTGCCAAATTTTACTCGAACATCAAAAATGGACAACACTGCCCTCCCCCCTCAAGCATAACATTATTTATGGATGCCCCCATATCAGTGTGTTTGATGTATAATTAGAATTAGTTGGTGGTTTCCTATCTGTATAAATGCAGGATAGCTATTAGCCAGAAGCTTTGTAGCTATATGATTTTAGCTAGTAGTTTTCCACCTGCATAACACAGGTAGGCTGTAAAGAGATATTTAAGCTGCTACAAAATAGCAGAGTTCTACTGAGGTAGGGTAGGGCAAGGTACAAAATTGATTTGCCTCTTGAAGGGGCTGCTGTTATGCTGCCTTGCCACTCTTCTACTTTATATTTGTATATTATTGTGAATATATTTGCATCCTAAGCTTTTAAAGTAATTTCATTGAATTTATATTTACTTTCCCCCTTACATATACTGGATTCTCTTGTTGGAGTTGGATTACCCATGTAATCGTTGCTTGCTAATGTATCACTGCTTAGCAGTCTTTTTGATTTGTTAACCTACTGTCATCTTGAAAGAAAACAGCAATCATGTGAGTAGTGTTTAAAATTCAAACTTAAATTTATATTTTTAAAAGAGCTTAATTTAAACTATTAATGTTCTTAAAATTTTTTTGATATTTATTATAAGGCTATACAAATTTAATAAATCAGTTTTCATAATCCGACTGGGTTAAAATTTACAAAACCTTAGAAAAAAATTTTTAGTTTATTTATTATCTAGGTGAGTTTTTTTAAAAATTATATATATATATATATTTTTTTTGGTATTAAGGTGACCTCTTTGGTCTGGGGAACTTTTTATTAGAGTATAGACGAAGTTTTATATGT